AGAAAGGGGCGTATTGGTATTTAGTAACTGAACAACAATAATGTTCCGTGAGCGTCCCATTTCAGCTAAAAAGACAAGACAATTTTTAACCTTTTACAACCAGACTAACATCACAATGGGGTCAAGTATGGTCTAGTTTGTTGTAAGCTGCTCTAGTTCGTACTCAAAGTAAATTATAAATAAATAATATATTTGTAATATTCCAATGAGTAGAAAAATTAGATTTTCTGACGTTTCGTGAGTTATTGCAAACCACTTCTTCAGGGAATAAATAAATAACCAAATCAGAATTAATTTAAGCTTAAATAGTAAAAAATCTAATTTTTCTACTCATGGGGATATTACAAATATATTATTTATTTATAACAATTTACCCAATGCTCAATTTATTCGAAATTATCAAGTCAAACCGTGGTAATGATACCTATAAAAGTAGATTAGTCTTTTTGGGACTATTTGTACACGAGTAGTAAATGAAAAGGTAATAAAAGTTGCGTCAGTCTTCCCGAAACTTGATAGCCTTTTAGGAAGTCCTGAAAAGAATACTCTAATCAATAATAAATTTTGAATACACACAAAGCAATATTTAACAACAGAAACCATCCTCTTGTTGCAGATATGTTCTCAAATCTCGTGAGCCAATATTGAAATCCGAATAACTCTAGTTATCGGATAGTTAATCATTTTAAAAAATGCGAAATATCAGGTACAAATTAACATCAATCATTGTCTCACTACGTCACCCACCGTCAATTTTTATTACTTGTATTCTGTGAACTTGTTTTTCTCGAGCAGTTTATTATCAGGATCACATTCCTTGATATTATATTTTACTGATATTTCATTCTTTAAGTTAATTATACATCTATCGAGCTCTTAGTACCTTAGTGATAGATGCTACACATTAATAGCATGTAAGATAAAGTGCTGTTTCCACTTCCTGTTATTGTTTTTAACGTGTTAAAGTTGCTTATCTTTATTATTTTCAAAACATTGTTTATCTTAGTTATATAACTCTTCTTTATAATTTAGGATCGAGTCCAAACAGAACTCAAGATCCATCTGATAATATCAGCAGAAATATTTTACTAGTCAATTACGAACCATCTAACTCGATTCAGTCTTCTGAAAGTAATAACCCTGTCTGTGCCAGGCATGATCTAGCGAATGGTAGATCCGTGGGAGGTAGATTGTTTACACGTATTCAATCCCTAGTGAGGAATGAACACTTAACTGCACGGATCACTGGAATGCTTCTTGAATTACCGTCATCAGAACACTCAGTTTTATTAACAAATGAAGAAGCTTTATGTAATCGTGTTGATGAAGCAAGGGCCTTAATAACAATGTCGGATACAAATGATCAGAAGTAAGTTGTTTGTGTTTTCTACTTAAAGATGTTGCATTTTCAGTTAGTCAAATGTGTTTCCACTTGCTCCAAATTCAAATTTCGACATTAACGAAATTTTCTGCTGATTTACCGCCCATCTTGGTTTGTGGATATTATTTTGTTTTCTGTAACTAAATAAATAAACATTTATGTTCGGAATCAATGACTAGTTCGAATTTTTCCCATTTTCAGCCGAGTTGAGCGCCCACGGACACCTTCAATTGGTTTAAATCAGCCTGTTCTTGAACGCTTAGTTAATTGGCAGGGAGTGGCTTTAACTGTTGCAGGTGCTACGTCTGTCAACCAACAATCCAACATCTCTTCATCAAGTACAATTGCCGATTTAATAATTACAGAGGATGTTGAGCGTGTCCCTCTTTTCTGGCAACCTGGTTTACAGGGTTATTACTTCCCACGAGCTGTTCCTGGAATAAACTTACCTTCAAATCAAACATGTGATTCGGTTAAATTAGCTGCACGCTACTCTATTTACAGGTGGGTTATTCTCTTATTATTTTTTTTCGCTCTTTATCTCACACATACGTATTATGTGATTCTCAATTCTTTTCTTTATTGTAGAGGTATCGGCCGTGTAATTGGTTTGTGTTTACTGACAAATGAAACATGTCCCTTGCACTTCAGTCGACCTGTACTTAAATACATCCTAGGTCGCGTGGTTCACTGGCACGATTTTGCCTTTTATGACCCCACTACTTTTGAGGGGTTGCGTCAGCTGCTTTTGCATACATCCAAGACTTTTCAAAGGTGATTTCGATTCGTGTTCACTATCGCATCTCACTAAATAGATATTTTAATTTGATAACTTTAATCTTCATTAAAATTACTAACCCATTTGTCAAACCAGTTATATCTTTTCTGTGGTCTATGTATCTCACCGTTGAATAACTTTGTATTTGCATACTTCTTCAAATTTCAGTCTCAGGGAAGCATAGAAGATTACAACCTAACTTTCTCACTTATTCCTGCCTTGGAAGAAGGTGGTCTGTCATCCACAGACGCGGTTCGTCAACCAAATGACTATTTGTATGCTTTGATCCCCGGTGGAGATGAAGTTGAGGTTAATGAAAGTAATGTATTTGAATTTGTTAAAAAGTACACAGAATTCAAAATGAAAACAGCAGTTCAGGAACCACTGGAGGTGAGATTTTTACCAGTGTTTTTTACATTTTGTCCCAAATGTTTAATGAAACTGCAGAAAATAGATTCATCATAGTTTTCTGTAAAGTTAATTAGGCTATCTCATGATATATTAATAATAAACAATGGTTGTGGTCTATAATGGTATCCTAGATCACATACCGCCTTAACTTTTAATAAGATTGGGTGTCATTTGTGTTAACACAAAACTGCAAACAAATACTCATATTTTAACCTTAGATCGCTTAAAACGTTCGTATTCCTGGATGAGCCATTGGATGAACATCTCACGGACACCGACGTGCAGGTCGTTTAGCTTGTTCAAATTTACATTTTGGGTTATATTAAGCCTTCTCGATTTGGAGGTTACCCAACACTTTTTAAGACTTTCGTAATCTGAATCTGTACCTAGTTGCATTCGAGCCGGGTACCCGTTAATATCCACGATAGGAAAGGTTTTTCGTTCGAAGTCTGAATTTGTTATGTAGCCAAGAGGTTTGAGGAACTACCGGTACGTTTAAAGGTAAACCTGTTTTTACCTATAGAGAGGATCGGGATCTACTGGGTTTATGATTGTGGCAATAACTGTATCGGCTGCCGACAGATGTTTGTAGGAGCAGATCCTGAAGTTCTATGCTCCATAAAGCCAGCATAATGGCGGGTATGGTGTGCCAAGAATCAGAGTTAAGTGGTGTGACATGGTCTGGTGTTTGATAATTTTTGTGGGTGTCGAAACTAGAGATCGCAACCTCGGGAATGTATTAGGTGATGTGGTTGATATTATTTTAAGACGCAGGGATCCCAATAGTTACGTCAGCTGTGTTTGAAATTATTGTTGGTAGTGACTAGGTAATTGTACGAGTGATATTGCACATGAAAAAAGCCGAATTACTGAGCACGGTGCTCGTGTCAAATATGTGATAGAAAATTTTGAGTTCCATAACTTGTTTCCAAATATTTGTTTTACTTCGCATTAAATAAATTTGGTTATTCATTTCTGACTTTGTGCAGCAACTCCGACAAGGTGTGTTTGATGTTCTACCTCGAAATGCTTTGGATGGGCTGACTGCTGAAGATTTGCGTTTACTTTTAAACGGAACTGGAGATATAGATGTTGATGTACTATGTGGATATACAACTTTCGTAGATGAAACAGGTACAGGATCAAATGTAGATGTGACGAAAAGCTGTGATAACACAAATTTGGTAAATCGCTTGAAAAAGTGGTTTTGGTGTACAGTTCGCAGTATGGATATGAAACAACGTCAAGATTTAGTAAGAACAGATTTTGTGAACTATCTTTCTAATTATTTATTTGAGCACATAGATATTAGTACAAATGGACACCGAATACATATGCACCACACAAGTCACTTGATTTGTGTGTGGGCTGTGATACTGCTCGGGTGCCCAGACCGAAGCGAAGCAGGTGGTTTTCTTAGGGGGTCACACGCGAAGCCTTCGGCCTAAAGCTCTGACCCACAAGGCAGTGGAGCAACGTCAAGTAATGCAGTCCCATGTTAGCCGTTGACCAATAATTGGTTTATACTCCATTTATTTCCTCAGGATACTGAGACCCATGTGCACCATTGGTTTGGAATCAGGGTTTTCCAACTCCTCTACGTGGGTCCTCCGAGTCCGCCGACCCGGTTAAAGCACCGGATATTCACTTTTCGTCCTCAATTTCGTAGACAACACCCTCGCTACAATGAGGCAGTGAGTAGGACTTCACTTGCTGTGGCTATATACACGTGGCTATGTGAGAGCATTTGAAGAGGGAGAGCGGACTCTCCCCACCTTCGGCCGCACCAGGGCATTTGGTTTTTATGCTAGTCACTACTACTTATCCGTCATAACATTATTACCATGTTTAATTTATTCAAAACTACACGAATATCGGAAAGCATGAGCGATAGGCCAAACTCTCGTTACACAGAAGATAAGACGTGCGGGTAGGGCAAATAACCTGAAAGTCAGTGTTACTGTCCTATTACTGACCTTTGTGAGCAATCTTGAGCTGAACAATTAGAACACTGATATTTGTACTACTGTCTCAGTATATATTAATGATCTTCATTTTTTGTGATCTGTTTATAGTTGTACTTCTGGACATCAAGTCCAACCCTTCCTGCCAGTGCTCAAGGATTTCAGCCTATGCCTTCAATCACAATCAAGCCACCCGACGACCATCATCTTCCATCTGCTAACACTTGTATTTCACGTCTTTACTTACCACTATATTCATCAAGGCATATATTGCGTGACAAACTGTTACAGGCGATTGGAACAAAAAGTTTTGGCTTTGTATAATTTCCTGTATATCTCAATCAAATAAGTCTTCCCTATTATTGTAAATGAGAGAACATTTGAATTTTTGAAGTATAATAAATCAATCAGATTTTCAAATGTTTGTTTTATTGTGCCATTTTGAATGCTTTGTCAACATGTACAGCTATTTTGGGAGTTCACTGTCGTTAAGACTAGAACTGATATTCTGAAATTCTTGTTCAAGTTGGTTGAGTTTTTGTGCCAGCTCTTCTGCAGTTCGCAGTCGACCTTCTTTGTGTGCAGTCATCAGTTGTCCAGCGACGTGATCCATCTTATTCGCTATATCACTTAAGTACTCTATTGTAGTTTTCTTTCCTTGGTGTTTCTCATAAGTGTTGGGCATCGATGTAGGTAGTTGGGAAAACCTTCGCCATATTTTGGCAGTAGGATTAATGGCTGGATCCATGTTTGCAAAGTTTTGTTTACCAGATACTCGCTCCATCAGCTGAAAAAAGTAAAAATAAATAATAGATGGAGGGGGTACACAGCTGATAATCAAGTAAAAGCTTTGAGAAATTCCAAGCGTTGTATTATAGATAAATTCATGTAGTGAATTATCTGGCTTTTTGGAGGATTGTGCAAAAGCAAGAGATTGCAGAATTACGATCAAAATGTTTGAACCCAATGAAAATAATCGTCTGATACAAAAGAGGAGGTTTAGAAGTTAATTGTTTAATAAAACTACACAGTAGTTAGCAGAAGCTTACAGTTCATGAAGTTTTCGGTCTACACAGCTATGTTTCAAGCTTATCGAAATCAGTTACACCTTTAATGTGATACAGTACAACTTACTTCTGCAAGAGCTTTGTCTTCCTCAGACCATCTAACTGCCAATTCAACCTTGCGTTGTGAAGTAAGGTTATCATATTGTCTGAGTGTAGGAAGAGTTTGCAAAGGTGGGAGATAATTTTGGACAAAATGTCTCGCCCTTCGATAAACTGCTGATGTCAAGCGCGCCACTATTCTGTTGACATAAAGTTCTGAATTCGGTTCACTGTATTTTGCAAACTGTCGTCTGAAATCAGATAGTGTCTCAGCTTTTATTACAGACAAGAAAAATATTTCGACTTTACTAGACAATTTAACAAAAAATTATGGTTTCAAAATCCTTACTATAAAGTATGGTTTAGGGACTTAATCGTATTAGTGGACCCCTCAAAGCGTGTGATGTGTCAGTGAAAGTAAGATATGATTGGATAATGCATGAAGAGACTTCCAACTATAGCAACTGTATGATTTTGTAAATTCTTTCCACTGTCGATATCACTGTATTGACTTCCAAATTTGTTCTCAATTGTTGGTCGGAATTCATGTGATCCCATTGTCTGCTATCTAGTGCTAAGTCTTATTGATTATACTCATCGTATTATCTAGTGTCCCAGCAGTATAATCCCTAGTACAAACCATCAGTTTTCTCTTTTTTATCAGTACGTGTAAAGTAAAATCTTTCTCTTAATTAGTCAGCTTCGTAATGATAAATAAACTTTATTTTAGTCGACAGCAACTTGTATTTTTCCTCAATCAAAACATCTAACAGCAATAAAATAACATTGTGTTGCCTGCGTATGACCACTGCCTACTTCGACGTGCAGTTTCGGCTGGATTGGGAGAAAGCGAGGAACGGCCAGATCAAAACTTAGCATACATCCATGAAGTCATTGACTGTTAGACTCAGTAGGTGCACGCTACCTACTGCGAATTTATTTTTCCTTCTCGAATCTTATTGTCTATGACTAGCCCTCTCTACTACCGTTAATATTGTTACTACTACTACTACTGCAGTGTTTGTGTTGGCAATTTGATTTTGCTCTGTTGATGTGGTGCAGGGACTTGAACCGATGTACGTATATCTCAGATTCTACGTCGCTTGTGACCACGTGTAAAGTTAACATAATAATCTACATTGCTAATATTCATTTGCCGAAAGTGATCAGACTTAAAATTCATCAAAAGATAGAAGCAACGGCCATAAATATTGAAAGTTCGGAAGTGTGAGTTCAAAAGTAGGGAATTCACACTAATATCAATAATTTCGATCATAAGATAACTACTCAACTAATGTACTCATCCATCCATAAATATATAAAGAATGGAAAATAAATTTTAATAGACACCGAACGAAAATACTGTAACATTATTACGCTTACCCGAGTGTCTCAATTTTTTGTAATGCTTGCAACAAATCGGAGTGCATAGATCTAGCAGATTCTAGCGTATATTTTTGTTCCCCGAGCTAGTTAATGATAAAATATTGAAAGGATTTTCTACATAATATTCATCCCAATGTGTGTGTGTGCAAATGACAAATCATTTTGAGAATTCTCATGAGGACTTCACTATTAATATTGAAACTGAGCCTCTTGTGGTAATTAAATCCATACAAATAATTAGTAAAAAGGAGTAAGCGATATAGATACAATACTAATCTGATATGCTAGTGAACAGACTTCGCAATTGGTGACTACAAACAAGAACAAAGAGATACTTACGCCTGTTACCCCTCGTCCAGGAGTATAGACCATCACACCAACATTCTCAATCCAACTCTGTCCTAGCAAATCCTTTCCAGTTGCCATTCAGCCTTTCGATTCCTGCCCTCCCCTTCTCCGTTCCACTTCACGATTCCAAATTGGCGGTTGCCTCGTGATGCAGTCCAGTGATTTCCGTAATGTGTGTCCTATCCATTTCCAACGTCTTCTCCTAATTTCCTCTTCAAATAGAAGCTGGTGTGTTCTCTGCCACAGTAGGTTGTTGCAGATGGTATCCGGTCAAAGGGCATTGAGTATCTTGTGTAGACAATTGTTTATAAGTAATTTTACTTTGTTGATGACGGTTTTAGTAGTTCTCCAAGTTTCAGTTATATATAGTTGAACTGTATTGACGTTCATACTGAAGATTCTGACTCTGACATTGGTTGACAGTTGTTTTGAGTTTCATATGTTCTTCAATTGTAGGGATGCTGCCCTTGCTTTGCCAATTCTCGACTTTACGTCTGCATCAGATCCCCCACGTTCATCGATGACGCTTCCCATGTACGTGAAAGGTTCCACCTCTTCCAGAGCTTCTCCATCAAGTGTGATTGGTTCGGTGTTCTCCGTGCTGTATTTGAGGATCTTGCTTTTTCCTTCGTGTATGTTGAGGACTACTAATGCAGAGGCTGCTGCTACACTAGTTGACTTTATCTGCATTTGTTCGTGTGTATGAGATAGAAGGGTCAGGTCATCTGTCAAGTCCAAATCTTCTAATTGATTCCCGACCGTTGTTGCTACCTTGATGTGGTGGTTGGGCTTGCCTATCATGATGAAGCAAGCGAGCTATACTGGCTGGAACAACCGTTTCTCAAAGTCCCACCATATCAGACAGGTCGGTTGAAGAACGGTAAGACTCCGATCCTTACTTGGAATGTATTTGTAAGCCGTCGACCATGCACGACTTTGCAGTGTAGTTCGTCTCATGATTTCCGGATGATGTTGACAATTATCTTAGATACACCATAGTGTCGAAGAAGCTTCCATGAGGTCCTCCTGTCCACACTACCAAACGCTTTGTCATAGTCAGTGAAGTTGATGTATATTGGAGAGTTCCACTCAAACGATTGTTCAACTATTCATTATTATTATTTGAACACATAAATATTGGCACAAGGGGTCACCAGATATATATGCGCCACACAATAATAATGGGAATGGGAAGAGAAAAAGAATATAAGACGTGTATAAGAAGAAAAAAGAACAATAACGACCACAAATCAGTGTATGGTAGTGAAATAATAATAATAATAATAATAATAATAATAATAATAATAATAATGGGGGTAGCGGAAAGGTACAAGCAGAAATAATCCTTTCACTTAAGGGAGTTACAACCACTTTTTATGAAAAAAGTAAAAAAACGTCACAGAAGGATCTCCACTGGCTGCTATTCTGAGCCATATCTGATAACGTTTCTAGCCACTGTGTTACACCATCCCTCGGACCCCAACCAGGGAGTCGTGAATGACCGACAGAAGCCAGCTCATTGCATATTTCTTTCATACCACGACACCATGTCATAAACTAGCCACCTCTCCGCTTTTTCCAACCAGTCCCAGCATCGGCATATAATGCATGACGTGGAATTCTCTGGGACGACATTCGTAGAACATATCCAAGCCGCCGAAGTCGATGTTTCAAGATGGTGACACCAATTGAATTCTCGTCTCTGCGCCAAACACACAATCCCGAACCTCTGCATTACTAACAAGATGTTGCCACTGGATGTCAGTAATCATTCAGAGAAAACGATGATCAAACACAGAGAATCGTCTAACATCCTCAACTCGGAGAGGCCAGGTTTCACAAGTCTGGAGCAAAACTGTTGTAGATCACACCTTTTACAGTCAGACTGACATCACGAAGACGCGAAAGATGACTCAGATTGGCATAAGCCACTGTCTTTCACTATACGTGAATTGATCTCATCACTCACACCCCCACCAGCACTTATGCAGCTACCTAGATACACGAACTTCACGACTACTCCTATCTGCTCACCACCCACGGTGAGTACAGGATCAGGGTCCTGCCAGTCTTGTAGAAGTTCTTTGCACTTTGGAGGTGCAAAGCACATGCCGAACCTACGGACACTGGTTGCCAACTGATTAAGTGCGGGTTGTATGGTTTGGGCATTATCGCACAGTAAGACAATATCATCCGTATACTCAAGGTCGAGAAGTCTTTCTCCGGGCAACAGATCTACACTGCCATTACTTACGTCCACCAGAGTTGTTTACAGAATGTCGTCGATGGCAAAGTTGAAGAGGAATGGTGAGATTGGGTAACACTGTCTAACACCACTGCTTGAATGGAACAATGGAGAAAGGTAGTTTTATGCCCTCACTCTGCCTGAGGTATTTGTATATAGGGCTTTTAGGATGTTAATAAACTTCTCAGGCACGCACTTCTTTGATAGACAATCCCAGAGAACAGAATTGTCCAACGAATCGAAGGCAGCCCTGCTAATTGATGTTCATGCAGGCTAAATGAAAAGGGCGTCCGTTTTGGCCGCTGTAGTGATTTTTGCATTAAGTACAATTTATTTTGTAGAAGATGCTTGATTTTTCTTCTTTTGTCATTTCATGCTTTGGTTTGCATAGGATTGATTGTAGTGATTTTGTGGGTTTGTGCGCAACACTTATCCTGAAAGGTTTCAACAATCTCGTTGTAGTTTCTGATATACCTTTTGTGTATGGTTGAGTGATTCGTTTGTTGGTTTCTGTGTTTGAATTTGTTTCTGATGATGCGTGCGGTTGGTATTTTTTGATGAAGTTGAATGGGTAGCCATTCTTTTGAAAGATGGTCTTCAAGAACTTTTCTTTATTTTTTGAGCTGCAAGTGTGTCCCCGCCCTCTTGAACAAAGTTTGTACCTGGTTGGTTTTGTGAGCCCTACGGTTGTTTCTACTGTAGTTGAGAATTTGATCTGTGTGGGTCGGCTTCCTACGCACTTGTGTCTCCAGTTTTCCTATGTCGGTTCTGGTGATTAATACATCTAAGAATTGTCGTTTGTTGTTCGGATTCTTGTCCCACTGTAAATTTGATGTCATTGAAGACGTTATTGATCAACTTGTAGGTGTTTTACGGTGATGAATGTGTCGTTCACATAACGAATCCAATTTTTTGGCATGATCACTGGTAAGATAGAGGCTTCCAGTCTCTGCATCACTGCTTCTGCAGTAAGTCCTGATATTGGTGATTCCATCTGTGTTCCCTTCGTTTGTTCGTAGATTTTGTTGTTGAATTGAAAATACTTTGTTAAGCATAAATCGATGAGTTCTAGTGAACTTTGACTTTGAAGCCTCGTGTATTTTGCGAGAAGCAGGAATAGAGTTTCCTTTGCTAAGCTTGGTTCAACTGAGGTGAATAAGACTGTTACATCGAAGGATATGAACAGCTCATCGTTGTTGATCAGAATGTCTTTAATCTGATCGAGGAATTGTATGGGGGATTTAGTGCAATCTTTCTCCTATATATTACCACCTTTGACCTAACCACTCCTATGAATCCGGTGTTCATCTTGCTTTGCTAATGAGGTATGGCAACCTGGACCGATGCACATATGTGCCTGGTCCTACGTTGTAGCTGACTGACTCTACAGGACAAGCTGTGGACCATATGTGGAGAAATTCAAACACTTCTGAATCCGGTCTTCACTTGGAATACATTTGTCAGCTGTCCTCCATGCACGACTTTGCAGTGTAGTTCGTAGTATGAGTTCCGGATGATGTTGACAATCTTCTCAGGTCCACCATAGTACCTAAGAAGGTTGCACAATGTTTTCTTATCCATGCTGTCAAATGCCTCATAGTCGAAGAGATACACCAAATTGCTAAAGGAAACACCCAAGTATCTGACCTCATTAAATCAGTGTGGTGCTTTATTCTACACTTTCTTCATATTCTAACAATCACAATTAGTTTTAATTATGCCTTTGCTAACTCATTATTGTACTTGCAGAGTGTATGCCGATGAAAGAAAAAGAAACGTTATCCACCTTCTAGCTGGTCGTACTTCAATACGTGAACTACCTTTTAATTTAATTACATTTATAACTTCTCAAAGAAACTATCCTAACTCAGGACAGAAAGAATTGTGGAAGTAAGATTATTAACTCGATTGTTTCTTGATTCGATAAAGCAACTTTAAGAAAAGGAAAAGTAATCACTAATGATAGAATTTTCAAGCCTGGTTATCCAGTTAGTGATTTCCCACTTCATTTTCACTGCAGATGTTATTCTTCCTATTTCGCAAATCTTCTGAGAACTGTACAGGTATCAAATTTGTTACGAAGACAAAAAACGTTGATACAATAGGGCGCTAAGAAATACTCAGTATACAAAACGAAATGACTGCTGTAAACAATTTGAAAACATACAATAAATAAAACTAGAATAGTATACATTAAACGATATAATCTAAGTCACAACATAACCAAGACATTTAAGTCAATGAAAAGAGATATTTGCTGTTGATGAAGACTTGAAAGCAATGGACAGCCGTTTTATCCTAGTATGGGACTCCTGAGCAGTGCGCATCCACGATCGCAGGCGCGAACGCTTAACCTCTAGATCACTTAGCCAGCGTCAAACGGTAATAATGTTTAAGTTCAATCGATCCATGATCTTACACAAACCTTCGTTCATTGCCTGAGGTGGATAATTGTCCCACATCCGACACGGATTGAACTCCATTGGCCCTCCAATGCTTTCAGCTTTTCAACGCTAGTCTAGCTAAGATCGACTCGCGAATTCAACTTTGAAAATATTACAATCTCCACAAATTTCTATACTGCCTATGGAGAATAAAATAACGAATTAAAACAGATCTTACACAAGCTTTTATTCTGAGCTTTATTTGGCAGAATAACAAAACACAGTTCCAAGATCCTATCCAGGTAATCGTAGCAAACTAACGGATGCTGATTCGATGTGAATATCAGTCATTCCATAGCATCATGTCATAAACTAACTACTTTCCCGTTTCCAATCAAGTACTGAGTCGGCAAATAATGTGTTGTATAGAGGGCACTACAACAAGAGTAAAACGTAACCAAGCCATCATAGTACGTGTCCCAAAATAGTAGAACATTATCATTTTTACTATGATTAAGCACTACTAATAGTATGTTGCCACAGACTACCAGCAATAATTTGGAGATAATGATAATCTACACAGGAGCTGAGGTTATCCAGCTCAGACGTTAAGTATCAAATTCATAAGGAAAAACTCTCACTGTGGTAAGCTACTTATGTCTGTCGACATAAGTAATATGTAACACCAATCGGAAGTGGAAGCCCTGGCAGCAGAAGGCTAAGAAGATAGAGTTGAGGAGAATAGCATAGAAAATGGAAAGGAATTGTGAACTTCAAGAATCATACAGAATGTGGAGGAGAAATGATACAAATGGAGTATTCAGTGTATAGTTCTTATATTTTATCAAGATACTCTATACTTTGTATTAAAATACATCCGTTGTTCCAACCTATGTTCTCGATCATTACACTACTAAAGCGTTGCATACCACGTTATTGTAAGCCCCTTCGGTTTTTAGTATACATAAATGATTCACAGCTTCTACTCCGTCACAAGTTCATAAACTTATCCAAATAAATTAACTTCTCTACTGTATCCAATATCTCAGCAGCAAATATTAGACGCTCATCGAATGTTAAACTGATACCCTTGCTACGAACGAGAACACAGGCTGGAACGACCACTTATTTGGTAAAATATGAACACCATACGTTCAGGACTTCGTTCGCAAAATGTCCATCAATTGTCTCGGAGTTTATTGTCTCATCCTTTCCATACCAATCACTCTGTGTTCCGTTCTCTTCTATTCGATCTTCTCAACCTTCTGCTGTCAGGCATTCCATTTCGACTGATGTTACTTACATCTGTCGATATAGGTAGCACACCACACCCTAACACAAATATTCTCAATTTGTTACACAATTACGTCATAGTGTTCTAGGAAATCCACAAAAATAAAACAAAAACAAAAGCTTCTGTAACAGGCCAAGTAACAAACACTATGTTTCAATGTTAGTTAAGATTGAAAGCAAAACTTTTATCTCACTTTAGACTCTCAGCAATAATGGTATAGGAAGGTATCCATTCACAAACTTTTTTCATTAATTCCTTGAATTCCTGGATGTAGAGTAAAACAAATATTAACAAAAAATATCAGCGGAACTGTGTGTAACTAACTAATTTCTAATGAGGAAAAAATACTAAAGTCATGTAGAATAAAGTGGATACATTTTATTAGCTGGAAACAGTTCAGAGTCAACAGTACTAATACAATTAGTAAAAATTAAGTTATTACTTACTTACTTACTTACGCCTGTTACTCCTCGTGAAGGAGCATAGGCCACTCACCAGCATTCTCCATCCAACCCTGTCCTGGGCAATCCTTTCTAGCTCCGTCCAGTTGTAATTCATCCTTTTCATATCTGCTTCTATAATCCGACGCAATGTGTTCTTTGGCCTTCCTCTTTTTCGCTTCCCTTCAGGGTTCCAAGTTAGGGCTTGCCTCGTGATGCAGTTTGACGATTTGCGTAATGTATGTCCTATCCATTTCCATCGTCTTTTCCTAATTTCTTCTTCAGCTGGAAGTTGGTTTGTTCTCTCCCACAGAAGGCTATTGCTGATGGTATCCGGCCAGTGGATGTTGAGTATCTTGCGTAGGCAGCTATTTATAAATACTTGTACTTTCTTGATGGTGGTTGTTGTAGTTCTCCAAGTTTCAGCTCCATACAGTAGAACTGCCTTGACGTTCGTATTGAAGATTCTCACTTTGATATTGGTTGAAAGTTGTTTTGAGTTCCATATGTTCTTCAATTGTAGGAATGCGACCCTTGCTTTGCCGATCCTCGCCTTTACGTCTGCATCTGAACCTCCTTGTTCATCGATGATGCTTCCCAGGTATGTGAAGGACTCTACATCTTCCAGAGTTTCGCCATCAAGAGTGATTGGATTGCTGTTCTCCGTTTTGAATTTGAGGACCTTGGTTTTCCCTTTGTGTATGCTGAGGCCTACTGATGCAGAGACTGCTGCTACACTGGCTGTCTTCATCTGCATCTGTTCGTGTGTACGTGATAGGAGGGCTAGGTCGTCTGCGAAGTCCAAATCGTCTAATTGATTCTGAGCTGTCCATTGTATTCCGTGTTTTCCTTCAGATGTCGAGGTCTTCATAATCCAGTCGACCACCAGAAGAAAGAGGAAGGGAGAGAGTAAACAGCCTTGTCTGACTCCAGTCCTTACTTGGAATGCATCTGTCAGCTGTCCTCCATGCACTACTTTGCACTGTAGTCCGTCGTATGAGTTCCGGATAATGTTGACAATCTTCTCAGGAACTCCGTAGTGTCGAAGAAGTTTCCATAATGTCCTCCTATCTACACTGTCGAATGCCTTTTCATAATCAATGAAGTTGATGTATAGTGATGAGTTCCACTCAACTGATTGTTCGACGATGATCCGTAGTGTTGCAATTTGGTCTGTGCACGACCGATCCTTACGGAATCCAGCTTGTTGATCTCGAAGTTGGGCGTCTACTGCATCCTTCATCCGGTTCAGCAACACTCTGTTGAAGACTTTCCCTGGTATTGACAGTAGTGTAATGCCTCTGTAGTTTTCACATTTGCTCAGATCTCCTTTCTTTGGAATCTTGACGAGGTGTCCTTCTTTCCAGTCCATCGGCACTTGTTCCTCCTCCCAAATCTTTTTGAATAGAAGGTATAGCATGCTTGTGGTTGCTTCGATGTCTGATTTCAGTGCTTCAGCTGGTATGTTGTCGGGTCCTGCTGCTTTCCCGTTCTTGATTTGTCTGACGGCCATTCTAATTTCTTCCGTCGTTGGTGGGTTGACATCTATAGGAAGATCTATGTGTGCTGCTTCGATGTCCGGTGGATTCATTGGAGCCGGCCTATTCAGGAGTTCCTCGAAGTATTCCACCCATCTGTTACGCTGTTGTTGAATTTCGGTGATTGGCTTGCCTTCTTTGTCTTTGACCGGCCTCTCTGGTTTACTGTATTTCCCTGCTAGTTTCTTCGTTGTATCGTGAAGCTGTTTCATATTTCCTTCTCTAGCAGCTTTTTCTGCCGTCGTTGCTAGTTCTTCCACGTATTTCTTCTTGTCGGCTCTAATGCTCCTCTTCACTTGTTTGTTTGCTTCTATGTATTCAGCTTGTGCTTTGACTTTCTCTGCTCGTGTTCGGCTGTTGTTAATTGCTGCCTTCTTGTTCTTCCTTTCTTTGATCTTGTCCAGTGTTTCTATAGAGATCCATTCCTTATGATGGTGTTTCTTTAGGCCCAGAACCTCTTGACACGTTGAAGTTAATGCTTCCTTGATGCCTTTCCAGTTGTCCTCCATACTAGTTTCTTCTTCTTTCAGTAGATCTTGTAAGGCTTGGAACCTGTTGTTGAGAGCTATCTTGAATTCATTGAGTTTGTCAGTATCTCGAAGGAAGGCTGTATTGAACCTTTGTAGTGCTGTTTGTCCACTTGTCCAGTTCTTTTTCAGCTTCAGTTTTAAATTGGCTACAACTAGGTGGTGATCTGAAGCTACGTCAGCACCTCTCCTGGTTCTCACATCTTCCATTGTCCTTCGGAATTTTTTGTTGATGCAAATATGATCTATTTGGTTCTCTGTAGTGTGGTCCGGTGAGATCCATGTAGCCTTGTGTATACGCTTGTGTGGAAATATTGTGCCTCCTATGACCAATTTGTTGAATGCACACAGATTTGCAAATCTTTCTCCATTTTCGTTTCTTTCTCCCAGTCCATGTCGTCCCATAATATCTTCATATCCAGTGTTGTCTATTCCGACTTTGGCATTTAGATCTCCCATCAGAATAGTTAGGTCCTTTCTTCGGCATTTCTCAATGATTGACTGCAGCCGCTCGTAGAACTGATCTTTAATGTCGTCGTTGCTATCATTGGTGGGTGCATAACATTGGATAATATTCATTAAGATCCCCTCCTTCTTTGTTTTGAATGATGCTTTGATGATTCTGGATCCGTGAGACTCCCATCCTACAAGTGCATTTCGTGCTACTTTGGACAGCATAAGAGCGACTCCCTGAGTGTGTGGAGCATTGTCCTCCTCGTGACCGGAGTATAGCAGCATCTCTCCCGTAGCTAGCCTTTTCTGTCCAGCTTGGGTCCAGTGGGTTTCGCTGATTCCCAGTACTGCTAAGTTGTATCTCCTCATTTCCATTGCTATTTGACTGGTCTTCCCGGTTTCCCACATTGTTCGAACGTTCCATGTACCTATAAAAATTTTTGCTCTGGTTGTTAGAAGGGGCATCGGCCTCGTGGCTTCCGAAGGAACTCGGCTTTCACCATGAAGCGTCATAATTCTTCTAACTGAAGACCTTCTAACTCCCAGGGCAGAGTTTAAATGGTTTGGATTATTTTTTCTGGTAAGCGTTTTTTTAGCGAGTTAGTTTTCTACGGGATGGGGACGCTAACCCCATGCCCAACCCTCCTCCTTTACCCGGGCTTGGGACCGGCAGTAACCCTATTAGAGCTACAGGCGGGTGCGGAACGACTGACAACAAAAAACTATACCAAAGCAAACCATATTTAGTCTTTATTATATTGAATATCATGTAAATACTGATCTCATATTATGCCATCATCAAATGTCCGTGAACCATACCTTATTTAGAGCATGGTCAGTAAATTCTGTGGCTATTGTTAAACACGTAATCGAAAAAACCAAGAACCTATTGAAATGATCCTGTAATAAAAGTTTGTAGTATAGTAATAAAAACAGAGCACTGTATTGACAATTTAGTTCATTTGAAAGCAAACGACTAAGATCTATTGCTACAATAGTTCTTTAAGAGAAGCGTTTTTCTGCGGAATTTCTCAACTTAGCAAACTCCATAAATTTTAGGTATCACCATATTTGACTAATCAAGCTGTGCTTCAAAAATCCACTAATCTCACTTGATAGTGAACACTTTTTATTCTCAGTACAAGGTGATTCTGAACGATGGCCAAACTTCATGGTTTATAATTTCAATCAGAGATTCATAATCTACTGTTATACGTTTATTCTGCACTAAATAAATCTATATTATACAATGTGAGCGTGGATTTGCGGCATATACCCAAACAGGCTGAGGTGGTTGTAAACCATAACAGCGCATTTACCTAACCTAGAATACATCGATTAACCAATATAGACTGATACAAGTAATGCTATAGAGAAAAAATGATTACAAGTTTTCTAGATGTAATTAATTATTATTATCATCATATCACTGGATATTAGATATTAGCAGGGTAGGTTTAATGTTTCTGAATACACAAAGGGAACACTTTCGTATCATTCAGGCTTAACGGAACCTAAGTATTCTTCCCGAACAACTTTGATACAAAACTACAAAGGCTGAGTAGATCGTACGACACATTTTTCCTGAATATTCAATCACTTTTTAATTTTCAAATTGTTTAGTCGACCTTCATTTCTCATATAAAAATAGCGTAAGAAGTTAACATATGATCAGACTGTTCGAAATGAGTTGCGCTAATCTACCACAGTTTCGATAATCTTCCACTTCTCAGTTGGATTATTTAAACTTATCGAAGGTATTAGCTGTTTTAAATTAGACCTTGAAAACTTCTTACGTAGCTATTTTCAAACTGAACTATCTCAGCTGCATCAGAAAGACTGATATCGATACTTAGGACTGAAAGCTGGTTTGTTCTCTGCCACAGTAGGTTGTTGCAGATGGTATCCGGTCAAAGGGCATTGAGTATCTTGTGTAGACAATTGTTTATAAGTAATTTTACTTTGTTGATGACGGTTTTAGTAGTTCTCCAAGTTTCAGTTATATATAGTTGAACTGTATTGACGTTCATACTGAAGATTCTGACTCTGACATTGGTTGACAGTTGTTTTGAGTTTCATATGTTCATCAATTGTAGGGATGCTGCCCTTGCTTTGCCAATTCTCGACTTTACGTCTGCATCAGATCCCCCACGTTCATCGATGACGCTTCCCATGTACGTGAAAGGTTCCACCTCTTCCAGAGCTTCTCCATCAAGTGTGATTGGTTCGGTGTTCTCCGTGCTGTATTTGAGGATCTTGCTTTTTCCTTCGTGTATGTTGAGGACTACTAATGCAGAGGCTGCTGC